CACTGTTGTCCGTGAGTCCTTTCTGCTGTTTGCTCAGTCCCTCTACCCCTTAATCCCCCCTTCCCTCCTAGCTGTCATCTGCTCTCTACCTATGAGTCTATCTCTGTTTTGCCTGTTCAGTTTGTTCATTAGATTCCACATATGAGTGAAATCATGGATTTGTCTTTCTCTTACTGGCTTATCCATTTTATCATGTATTTCTTTACTGACCTTGTATCCCACAATTTTGCTATAATAACTTACTAGTTGCAGGAGTTATTTTGTCAAATCTTTTGTATTTTTTACATAAATAATCATGTTATTTGTGAATAAAAGCAGTTTTATTTTTTCCTAAAGCTATACCTTTATTTTCTTATTGTATTAGCTAGAAATTTACTGTGATATTAGAAAGGAGTGATGAGAGGGGATATTCAGATTTCTCACCATTTTGATTTAGTAAGTTTTTTGTTACTCTTTATAAGACAAGGATGTTCTCTGCTATCCCTAGATTACTGAGAGTTGTTATCATGAATGTGTTGGATTTTGTCCAGTTCTTTTTCTCCGTCTGTTGATAAGATGATGCAATTTATTTCTTTCACTTTATTGATAGCTTACATTAATTGATTTTTAATGTTGAACCAGCCTTGCACATACTAGGATAAATCCCCTGTGGTCATAGTGTATAATTCTTTTTATACAGTGTTGGATTCAACTTGCTAAAATTTTGTTGAAGATTTTTGCATCAATGCTTATTTAAGGTACTAGTCTCTGATGTTTGGATTTTGTTTTTGTTTTTGTTTTTTCCTTACAATGTTTTTGTCTGGTTTTAGTATTATGGTAATGTTGGCCCCATAAAGTAAGTGAGGAAGTACTTCCTTTTTGGATCTTCTGTAGGAGATTGTAGAAAATTGGTATAATTTATTCCTTAAATGTTTGGTAGAACTCACCAGTGAATCCATCTGGATCTGGTGCTTTCTATTTTGGAAGATTATTGATTCAACTTTAATAGATATGGGCCTATTCATATTGTCTGTTGAGTTTTGGCAGATAGTGCCTTTCAGGGAATCATTTTCATCTAGACTATCAAATTTGTGGGCATAGGGTTGTTCATCATATTCTTTTTAATTTCTATGGGATCTGTCATGATATTCCCTCTTTCATTACTGATATAAGTAATTTGTGTCCTCTTTTTCTTAGCGTGACTAGATAAAGGCTTGTCAGTTTTGTTCACCTTTTCAAAGAACTAGTTTTTGAGTTGATTACTACTCTACTGATTTCTATTCTAATTCTTATTCTTTTTGTCTTGTTTTGGGTTTAATCTTTTTCTGCTTTGTTAAGGTGGGAACTTAACGTTACTAATTTTAGATTTTTCTTCTTTTCTAATTATATGCATTCAGTACTATCAATTTCTCTTTAAGCATTTATTTCTCCATATCCCACAAAGTTTGATAACTTTTTATTCCATTTAGTTAAAAGTACCTTTTATTTCCTTTTCAGATTTCTTTTTGACCCATGTGTTATCCAGAAGTATGTTACTTAATCTACATGTATATTGGGATTTTAAAATCCCTTTCTGTTTTAGTCATTCCTAGTTCAATTGTTTTGTAGTCTGAGAGCAACACTGTACAAATTCACTTTTTTTAAAAAATTAAAGTCTGTTTTTTGGCCCAGAATGTGGTTGATCTGCGTTAATGTTCCATGTGAACTTGAGAATTATGTGTATATTCTCCTGTTGCTGGATGAAGTAGTCTGTAGATGTCAATTATGTCCACTTCATTGATGATGTTACTGAGTTCAGTTTTGTCCTCAGTGATTTTTCTGCCTGTTGGATATGTCGAATTTCTGATACAGGGTGTTGAAGTCTCCGGTGTGATAATGGCTGCATCTGTGTCCCCTTGTAATCAGTTTTTGCCTCATGTCTTTTGATTCTCTTTTGTTAAACATAGGCTTAATAAGGATTGTTATGTCTTCTTGGAGAATTGACCCCTTTATCATTATGCAATGTCCTTCTTTATTATCGCTGTTATATTCAGAAATTAATACAGCTACTCCCGCTTTCTTTTGATTACTGTTAGTATGATATATTCTCCATCCATTTATTTCTACTTTATATATTTCTTTATTTACAGTGTGTTTCTTATAGGCAACATATAGTTGAGTATTATTTTTTTATTCACTCTGACAGTCTGTCTTTTATATAATATATAGAGACATTAATGTTCAAAGTGATTATTGATATAATTGGATTAATATCTATCAAATTTTCTACACTTTTCTATTTGTTGCCTTTATTCTTTGTTTCTACTTTTGTATTCCACTTTTCCCAGTCTTGTGGATTTATTAAACACTTTATATGATTCCGTTTTCTTTTCTTTTTTCACATACCAGTTATACTTTTTAAAACTTTCTAGTGGTTGCTCAACAATATACAATATACATTTACAATTAACTCAAGTCCTTTTCAAAAAACAACAGACCACTTTACAGGTGGTGCAAGTATCTTATAATAACAAAATTATCCTAATTCTTCATTCCCATCTCTTGTATCATTCCTGTCATTCATTTTACTGATATATAAGCACATATGTATATAATCATATGTCATCAAATATATCATTGGCTGTATTTTAGAAAAAAACTTTTTGTTAGATCAATTAAAATAAAAATAAAGGGTTTTATTTTCACTTACTAGTTTTTTGATGCTCCTCCTTTCTTACGTAGATTTGAGTTTCTGACCATTATTATTATTTTCCTTCTCTTTAAATTTAGGACTTCTATTGAGATTTCTTGTATGGCAGGTCTGTTGGCAACAAATTTCGTCAATTTTTGTTTGCCTGAGAAAGTCTTTCTCGTAAAGATTGTATTTACTAATTTTTTAGAGAGAGGGGAAGGGAGGGAGAAAAAGAGGGAGAGAAACAGCAGTGTGAAAGAGATATATTGATTACTTGTCTCTCGCACACCGCAAACCAGAGACCTGGTCTACAGCCCTGGCATGTGCCCTGGCTAGGAATTGAACCAGTGACCCCTACATTCTCAGGCCAGTGCTTACTCCACTGAGCAACACCAACCATGATACTCTCTCCTTTGCTTTTAAAGTATAATTTCATGGGTTATAGAATTCTAGGTTGGTGGGCTTTTTCTCTCAACACTTTATAAATGTTTCACTCCACTGTCTTCTTCCTTGCATGGTGTCTGAGGAGAAGTCATATGTAATTCTCATCTTTGCTCCTTTATGAATAAGGGTTTTTTTTTTCTGGCTTCTTTCAAGATTTTTCCTTTATCTTTGGGTTTTTTGTTTGGTTTTTTTTTGTGTGTTTTTGTTTTTTCTTTTATAGTTTGAAAATATTTTGCTTAGGTGCACTTTTGAGGGCATTTATCTGCTTGGTCTTCCCTAAGTTTCCTAGACCTGTGGTTAACATTAACTAGGGTAAATTATCAGACATTATTATTTCAAATATTTCTCCTGTTCCATTCTTCTTCTTCTATTTCTGTTTCACATTACGCCTCTGTAGTTGTCCCACAGTTCTTTAATATTTTGTTCATTTCTTTCGATCTTTGTTTTCTTTGCCTTCAGGAGGCTTTGGAGGTTTGTATTGATATAGTCTCAAGCTTAGAGATTCTTTCCTCAGCAATGGCCACTCTACTAAGCTCATAAGAGGGCATTCTTCATTTCTCTTAGTGTTTTTGATCTCAAGCGTTTCTCTTTGGTTCCTTGTGAGGATTTCCATCTCTGCTTTCTTTGCTCATTAATCCTTCTTTAAAAAAATTTATTTATTGACTTGAGAGGGAAACATCGATTTGCTCTTTCACCCATTTATGCATTTATTGGTTGAGTCTTATCTGTGCCCTGACTGGGGATCAAACCCACAACCTTGGTGTGTTGGGACAACACTCTAACCAACTGAGCTAGCTGGCCAGGGTTGTTCATTCTTTCTTGCATGCTGTTTACTTTATTGATTAGAGCCCTTAGCATATTAATCATAGTTTTAAATTCCTGGTCTGCCAATTACAACATCCCTGTCATGTCTGGTTTTGATGCTTATTCTGTTACTTCAAATAATGTTTGTTTGTTCTTTTTTTTAATAGTTTGACATGATGTACTGGATAAAAGGAACTCTTGTAAATAGGCCTTTAGTAATGTAGTGGTAGCGTGTGTAGGGAAAGGAAGCATTCTTGCAGTCCTGTGATTAGGTCTGTCTTTTAGACTGAGCCATTCCTGGGACTGGGAACTTCACAAATATTTCTCAACTTTTCCTCCTCTGTTTAGGTGGGTAGGATGGTTAGAGTTGATTGGAGTTGTGTATTTATTTTTCTCCAGGTCAGATAGGTTCTGATGATGTCCCAGCAAGTCAGGCTCTGTTAACTCATTTCTCCTGAGGACAGACTTTGTTAAAAACAGAGTGCTCTCTAATTTTAAAATGAGTTTTTTTCCTTCCCTCTGCTAGAAGAATTTCAAATTTTTTTGATATTTACTGTGGGAATGTGGTTGAGCTTCTGCAGGTAAACTCACAAAAGTTGGGTGGCTCACTTCCCCATTGAGTATTTAACTCTCAAAGTTGTCCACATTGAGCCTCCAGCAACTCATCAATTACAGTTCAGCTTTTCCTACCCCAGCACTGGTTTCAATGGCATTTATGATTCATAATTCTGCTATGTTAACCCGTTACTCCCCTATTCCCCTGTCTGTCTTAACAGTCTTAGAGGCAATGGTTACCCCTGCCTATGGACCCTAGAAAAGTTGCTTTGTTTTTCCTGTTCAGGTTTTTGGGTTTTTTTTAAACTTGTTAGGACAGAGTGGCAACTTTCAAGTTCCTAACATGCAGAACCAGAAACCAGAATTCTGTATTACTTTTTAAATTAAATTTTAAATGTATAAGGAAAGACCTAAGTTTATGTAATAAAGAGCATGATTCAACATTTTGAAAAACTAATAGATAATTTTGGAATATACACTGTATATAGTTTTATTAAACATGAGATGCATTCTTTTGTCACTTAAGTAGAAATTGTTTGTATTTTAGATAACATTCAGTCATCCAAGCCTAGATATTCAGGGCAGAAGTATAGAATATGTACAGCGACAAATATCCAAGGAATGTGGAAACCTAAAGTCCCAAAATAGGGTAAGTAATCTTAGTTTATCATCTGATAAGGAATATAACTAACAAACATATAAGTGAAATTTTTTAGTCCTGATTTTTCACCAGATAGAACCAATAAGAATTATATATTGTTAATTTAAATGACTGCATTAATCTCTTCACCTGTAGACTAGACCTGGAATTGTTTAGCCCCGATACCAAATGTCTGGGGAATAGAAGTTTGCTCCAACCTGGGTCAGGTACTTACCTGTAGAGTACTCATTGTATCGAGCAGCTGGGGCTAGGAGATGTACATGTGACTTCTAGAGAGCCATATGATTTACCTCCCGAAGATTTTACTTTGCTTCTTGGCCTCAGTGAGAGAGTCTGTCCAGAAGGAGGGATGAAGGGGTTTGTGTAAGTTTGTTGTGTACATGTATTTGTATGTGATGTGGTGCATTTTAAGTGGTTTTCAGAAACTACATAGCCAAGCTTTAAAAAGTATATGTCTTTTTATTAGTTTGCTAGGGCTGCCCATAACAGTACAACAGACTGGGTGGCTAGAACAACAGAAATTTATTTTCTTATGATGTGGAAACTGGAAGTCCATGACCAAGGTGTTAGCAGTTTGGTTTCTTCTGAGACCTCTCTCTTCTTGGCTTGCATGTGACCTCCTTCTTGGATCCCCACATTGCCTTGGTTTTTTCATGCACATTCCTAGTGTCTCTCTGTGCCCAGTTTCGTCTTCTCAGTCAAGTTAAGGGCCGCATTTGAACTGAATCACCTTTTTAAAAGCCCTGTGTCTAAATGTAGTCATTTTTTGAGCAGTGGAAGTTGGGATCTCAACATGTGAATTTAGGGAGGACACAATTCAACTCATAATGTTTTACCCTCTGGTCCCCCTTAATTCATAACTTTCTCACATGCAAAATTCACTCCATCACAGCAGCTCCAAAATTTAACCCATACCAGCATCAACATTCAGTCCCAAAGAGTAAGTGAGACTCGTGTGTGATTCATCCTGAGACAAAATAGCTCTCTAGCTGGGAACCTGTGAAACCAAAGAAGTTATTTGCTTTCAAAATATAATGATGGGAAAGGCATAGAATAGACATTCCCATTCCAAAAGGGAGGAACTGGAAAGAAGAAAGGAGTCATGGGTGTCTCAAGCAAGTCCAAAACCTAGCAAAGCAAATTTCATTAGCTTTTATGGCTCGAGACTAACCCTCTTTGGCTAGATAGTTTGTCCTCCAGGGAGATGTCCCCACACCCTTGGCCCAGGACTTCCTGGCCAGTAAGAAATGGCCCCATCCCACTGAACTGAGGAGGCAGACCCAACATTCCTAGTTCTTCCTTTAAGAGATAATGCATGTTAGTCTTGGCTGGGGTGGCTCATTTGGTTGGAACATTGTCCTGTGACCAAAAGATTGCAGGTTTGATCCCCCATCGAGGCACATACAGGAGGCAACCAATCAATACTTCTCCCTTGCATCAATGTTTCTCTCTCCCTTTTTCTCCCTTTAAAAGCTATGAAAAAAAAGTCTTCAGTCAAGGCTTTAAAAAAAATGCATCAGATAGTCCTATTTGCCAGTTCTTATACAACTTACAGTTTTGACAGCCTTGATTCACTTCCTCTCAACTCTGGTCCTTTTTAGATCCAACCTGGCAGCATTTGAGCTGAGACAGTTGATAGGATCCATGATTGTCTAGCCACGCCTTTGGTATTCTCTTCAGAACATACTTACAAGTTCTACCTTCCACAAAACACTAGAATATAATTCATTTACATCTTTTTCTACTTTATTAAAAAAATCACCTTTCCTTCTCTGTCCAGTATTATGTTCCTCATTTCCATTTGGGGTCTCACCCAGAAGCACCTTTAACATCCATATTTATACCAACAGTCTCTTTAAGGCTTTCAAGGCTTTTTATAACATACACCTCAAAACTTTCAGCTTCCCCAGTTCCAAAGCCATTTCCACATTTCTAGGTATTTGTTACAGCAACCCATTTTTTTGATACCAAAATATGAGTCAGAGTTCTCCAGAGAAACAGAACTAATAAGATGTGTATATACACAGATTTGTTGTGCGGCAATTGGCTCATGTGATACTGAAGGTACATACCCAGAATGTGCAGAGGGTAAGCTGTCAGGCTTAAGATGCAGAGAAAAGTTGCAATTGCCCTTTGTTCTGTAAATTTGGATGAGGTTCACCTATGCCATGGAAGATAATTTTCACTCATCATAGTCCACCAATTTAAATGTTAATCTCGTCCAAGAAATATCTTTACTTAAAACATTCAGAATATTTGACCAAATATGTGGACACTGTGACCCAGCCAAGTTGATACATAAAATTCGAGTTTCCAGTACTTATTGCATTTTCCATGTCTTTCCTTTTCAGGTCCCTTTGAAACCAATCCGACATGTCAGCTTTCAAGATGAGGATGAGATTGTCAGAATAAACCCTCGAGATATCTTAATACGACGCTATGCAGACTACCGACATCCTGACATGTGGAAAAATGACTTGGAGAGAGATGATACTGACTCCAATATTCAGTTTTCTAAACCAGACAGTAAAAAATCAGACTATCTATACTCTTGTGGGGATGAGACTAAGTTAAGTTCACTCAAAGACTCTGTGGCACTTAAGACACAGCCTACCTTATTAAAATGTAAGAAGTCAAAACGAAGAAAAGAAGATGGTGAACGTTCTCGCTGCATATACTGCCAGGAAAGGTTTAATCATGAAGAAAATGGCAGGGGAAAATGTCAGGATGCTCCAGACCCTATTAAAAGATGCATATATCAAGTTAGTTGCATGCTCTGTGCTGAGAGCATGTTGTATCATTGTATGTCAGACTCAGAGGGAGATTTTTCTGATCCCTGTTCATGTGACACTAGCGATGACAAGTTCTGCTTACGATGGTTAGCCCTAGTAGCTTTGTCTTTCATTGTACCATGTATGTGCTGCTACGTCCCTTTGAGAATGTGCCATCGTTGTGGTGAGGCATGTGGGTGTTGTGGTGGGAAACATAAAGCTGCTGGATGAAAGGATCCAGTGCCAAAATGAGCTTAAAATCTTTGTTTCCAGGAATTAGCTAACTTGGATTGGTGGAAGCTTTTGGCAAGCAATATGAAATCTTGCCTGGTGTCATAGGGGCCACACGTGGAAGAAGCAGAACTCATCAGTTCTTGGCATTTCACAAATGCTAGCCATGCCTAACTTTTCCCTTGAGTGCATGGCATGTTTTGTTACAGGTTGTAAAAAGTATTTGCGAAGGGAAACCATTTCTGGTTATTGGCTATAAAAAGTGAGCATAAAATACGATCCAACTAAAAGGGATTAATTTTTGGCATTTTTGTATATTTATGCATTAGGTGACGGGACTATTAAAGGTTTGAATTCATTAAGACATGAACTAAAAGTGCACTAGGGGACAGCTGATTTCTGTCTAAGAAAAGTTAACATTTGGAAATTATAAGAAGTTAAACAAGTGCAACTAAAATCATTTATTGTTTTTTGAAAGCAGTTTTATGTATAAATAACAAATGTTTATATTTAACTAAATATAAGGTACGAATTATGACATATTAAACTTTTCTTCCCCTTCCTAGTTTGAAAGTAGATGTACATATATCTACTGTCACATTCCATTATATTTTGAATATTTTACTCATCTAGTTAATAATGTTTTTATTCCATGTGAATGATTTGATATTTTCACCCTCATTTCCCTTTGGCTACGGTTTATATTGAGTTATGTCTGTACATTCTGGTAATCTAAAATTCTTAAAAATATTCTAATAGCCTTGAGTGACCAACTTTTTTTTAAAGCACAGATGTAATTGTCTAATGTTCTGATGGGAACATAACACTTATTTTTATATAAAAAGAGACTGAGTAAACATAGAAAAAATGAGGTTTTGGGGTTGTTGTTTTGTTTTTTGTGGTATTCAACCAGCAAGTTGTTTTCTCTCAGATTTTCCTCCTTAAAAAAAATCATATTGCATTTACAAATATTTTACAAGGCAAAAAAATGTAACTGGATAGTTAGTGTAAGAGTTTTCTCCTGAGATATCTATTTATCATTCCGGTAAACCAGAATTTGTTCAATTGTGTTACTGATTTTTTAGCTTAATCCTCAGTGCTTATTATTCACATCATAATAATAGCTTTTATGTTAAAGTGTGTGCTGATCTATCCCCGGATAATCCAACTTTGTGAATGAAATATCCTGTGCATACAAATTTCTTTCTTTTTCAGAGCATTGTATTAATGGATGTTTTATTTACAAAGTAGTTGGATAAATGTTCCAACTAATTGTTTAAAGTACTTTGGGATCAAATTCTCTCTCTCTCTCTCTCTCTCTCTTTCTCTCTCTCTCTCTCTCTCTCTCTCTAGTGTTAACATTTAAACTCTAATCAGGTAAGGCGTTCTTTAAGAACATTCCCTTAGAGGGATAAAGATGAGAAGCATGCGTTTTGTTTTTTGTAATGGCTTGAAGTTTCAAGAGTGATAAGCATTAAAATCACACTACCATTTTAAGCTCCTGTTCTACACAAATTTTTAAATGTCATTTATGTATCATTCGTTTTACCTTCACAGTAAAGCTTGTGTTTCCTGTCGTCTTTTGCCCCTGATCAAACTGAACAATGTATATAACACTGTCTGTAAAATACTTTTTTTAAGAAAGCATTTATATTTATATGACAGCTTGAACTGACAACATTGTGTATATAGATCATCTTGAAGTATTATTTCACATTGAAAAGAAGAAAAATATATTGATAACTATAGATGTTATGAAGAAGAGGTTATTTCTAGTTTTGTACTAAAAATCAATTGGATGACCTAAATCCAAACATGACACTGTAGCAGCAGTTTTAAGTCTTATTTTTACTGTTTATATATTTGGACACTGCTACACCAGATGATCTCCATCCCTGAAGTTTTCAGCTAAACTTGGTTACCTAGGATAGACTGTTAACTTTCAAAATTAATTTTTATTGGTGGAATGGAAATAATTGGTTTTCCTTGTGAATAAATTTTCATATTTGTAAGTGTGGAGTTTATAATTCAGGTTTGAGCAAGGTGTGAATAACTGAAGAAAATAACTTGCTGGCTCTATAGGAAAATGCTGTGGAAATGAACTGTGTATATACTTCTAGGAAGAACAAATATAATAATCATTTCTTTGTTAAGCACTAATCGGTATAGTGCAACTCCTGGTTCTGTACTGTATTTTATATGCAACATATATGCTTTAATATTTTAATGTTTGTGCATTAATATTTTCAAATTGTTTTAACCACTTTGCTGCTAAGACTTTGCCGTCCTATCCCCATTTTTTCCTTTACAATTTTAAACAAGTTTCTTCATTAAAACTTATGGTGATAAAATGGTTTTTATTTCACCTCAGATCTTTACAGTTAACACACCCAGTTTCCAAATTGGTCTAGAAGACTAACTAGTAATATAATGTTATCTGAATCCCTGTGCGGAAAGTTTTCTCCTGAGTAAATTAGAATTCTAATGTGAAAACTAATGGGTGGTTTAAATTTCTTGTTTTAAATGTATATAGGTATGTTCAGGGACATTTTCTCATCTGCATACAGATTTGGCACTGCTAGTTGGCTTTTCCTTTAAAACATTTCTCTGTTTTTAATTTGGTAGTATAAGCAAATGGCTAAACAAAACTGCCTAAGTAATAAATATTGAAAATGAAATCATGTTGATGGCATGACAAGAAACACTTCGGTCTGATGGCTTGTTGTGTTCAGACCTGAAAATTTGTAAATGATTTTTCTCCTGCCTTGAAGGTGGGGGGCGGGGGGGGGGGCGCTGAGGTGAGGGAATTATTTGATGTCTGAAGAAATATGAAGTATGGGATTTCAGCACCACCTACTGGGTGATTTATAGGCCAGACATGAGGTGGCAATTGGGGTCTGACAGGGTTCATCACTCTTACCAGTAAAGGGCAATTTAAGTGGTGGCCTCTGCCAAATGGAGAAAGCAGGAGTGGGAAATAAAGAAACTGTAAAAGGAATCCTCTCTAATGTGTCTTGTTGGTTGCTGAAAGATTTAAGCACTTTTTTCTTACATATTCTGTATTAAAATATTTATTGACAATTTGGAACTGGCAATCAAACAAGTGATGGATATGCCGAAGCATTTATAGAACCAATTCTTTTAAACTTGCTAGAGCCATTACCAAAATGGTATTCTTATTTTTCCTCCCATTGCTAGTCAGGGAGAATTTTTTAAAAAAATAAACATCACCTGTATTACATCAAGACAACTTCAGAGGGAGTGTGTGTTTGTGTCTCTGGGACGCTGGGGCAGGGGTTAAAATATAAAGGGGAAACTTGAAACTACCTATTTGCATTGGCTATTCAGCAGTGCCTAAATGAACTTTTGAAGTAACACAAATGCACTTTCAGTTCTTGTGTTAGTGCCATCTGATATGTTAGGTAAGTCTTGCTTTTTCTTTTATTTTTATCCCCCATTCAACTCCCATCACCATTTAATTGAACACCACAAAGATGTTTCTTAATATCCGTGTAAGTCACCAAAGTCCAGGAAACAGTACTTTCCTCCAGATTTAAAGAATCTTAAGATGTTATGTTGAAATTGGTTTTCAGTCTTGTGATTGCACTTTAAAGTATGTGTGTTTAAGATTGGGTTTTTAATTTTAGCCCAGAAATACATTAAGCAAGTAACATTTTTCTGCATAATACTTTATGAAGTTTCTACATAAAGTTTCGTGAAACTTTAGTTATATGAAAAACACAAATTCTTGACTAAATATTCTCATTCTTAATTTGATCTCCAGAATCACATTTCTAAATATAAAAGAAAGCACTAGGAACTTGCATTTTTGTTGCACTTAAAAAAAAATTGGTCTGTAAACCACAATAATAATGGCACTATAAGATGTTTTGCAGTAAGTCAAAACATAAAAAAAAAAAAAATCACAACCTGAAGTGATTTTTATAAACCAAAAAAAAGGGCTTTAAGGTATTAAGGTACTGTTTGCCTAGCAGCCAGGTGGTTATAAAACTTTCGTATGCTTTGATTTACTGATGATGTTAGCCATTGTTTTTGAAAGCTCCTTAAATTGCATAAATTGCTAGTTTTGAAATTTTTCAGAAGTAATCTAGTTGAAAAGCTTTTGTATTAAAGATACACATAGATTTTTGTGAACATTGCCAGTGTGTAGTGTCATTTGCTTTCTATCCTTGACCTCAAAAGTGCCTCACTTGTATATTGCTTCCATTAAAAGCTTGACTGCATTCTCTCTAATAAGCAATGAAGTATTGTTTAACTCATGCCATAATGTATCTCCTTAAATATAGTTGACTAGCTTGATAGTTTTGGGTATATAATGTAAATATGCATATATAAGTTTGTAACTGTTTTTGTTACATCATACCCATGTAATTGGACATATCAGATGATATCAAAGAATTTGTTTTAATTACCTGATTAAACCTATCATGAAATATAAAAGGACTTTCTCTGACTCTTCTAGAAGATAACAAACTATCACCTAAGAAATAATATTTGCCAGAGGAGAAAGCAATGGTAGAAATGGAAGCTTTTGATCATAATTTTTAAGGTATATTTTTAACTGAAAGTTCAAGTATAGTGACTTATATATCCTTGATTATATCCAGATTTTTTTTAATAGTCTTTTGCCTAATATATTTATCTGTTTGGGAATAGGTTACAACTAAGTCTAGATTAACCAATTTATAAGATAGGTGGGAAATATTTTAACCTAACACTGCTACTCATTTGTGTGGGTGTGTACGTGTGCACGTATGTGTATGTGTCTCTAGGAAGTTTCAAAGTGTGGTTTAACTTGTAAACAAAGATAAGCAATAATCTAAACAAAAAATCACTGGGACAGTACTCACAAGCCATAGTGTATTTCAACAACAGAATAACCTTCGGATTACTATAGTACAGTTACATTTGTTTGAAAATCAAGAATTTATACCTTAACTATGAATTATGAAATATAATCTCATGTTTATTTACAGGGTTTCAGAAATTTGCTTTATATTCTTCGCGCCAAGTTAATAACCACAAGTAGATAGGATAGGTTTCACATCAGAGAAATTGAAACCAGGGCTCCTGCTTGGTCATCAATATAGTCCATTCACACAATGGTCCTTTAAAAAGTCAATTTGATTAATTTAAGAACTGGAGTCAACTCATTTAAAATTAACTGCTCTAAGATTTGCAGTTTTAGACCCTTAAAATGCTCAAATTCATAGGAGAGTCATAGTTGAAATGTTTCATCTAGCAATTTTTGTATCTTAATGTATTTTAAATTATCACTGTCAATCCTCAAGTAACCCTGTGATGTATTATCCTCATGTTACTGAAGAGGAGATTTAGGCTTCAAGAGGTTAAAAATATTCCCAAAAACACTTAAGAGGCACCAGGATTTGAGCCATAGTCTGTCTACTCCAAAGCTCATGTTTTTAGTCACAATGTAGTTTTGCCTTTTGTTATTAAGGCTACAGGTGTACTTCATAGAATAAATGTTAAAATGCAGTTTTTTTTAAATGAAAAATATTTTTAAAGGGAATAATTTCTTAATTTGCACTTGTATCTGTTGCAGTTCTGGGCCCACTTTTTATCTCTCTTACTAGGTGGGGCACTATTCATATGGCATGGGGAGATCCTTAAAATTGGAGAATAAAATTGGGGTAATGCTTCAATATGTATCAATTGTGTGCTGATCCAACAAAAAGTACTAAAGACGTACATAACAGTCCAATGTGTGGTATTGTTCATTTTGCCCAATTGGTACTTTTCCTGAATATTTTGAGTCAGAGGGATTCTTTTTCACCCAAGCAATGATACTTCCTCTGGAGGCAGCAGGAAAAACAAAAGTTCTCAGATGAGTCTTCTCTATTCTGTACTCTTTTTCAAACAGTCGGCCATTTGCATGTCAGTTATTCCACAAAGGCTGTCTTTGAACCAGCGTTGCACTTAGTATCAGGGCTACCAGCACATGTGTCAGAATGACTAGGTCAGTGTCCCCTCTTCCCTCAAATTTAATTTTAACCTGGAAGTGGTTCACCATAACCTAGAGGCTATGTGCAGTAAGGGAAGAAGTTGGACAGAAAGAATCCCAGAATTTCTAACATTGAAATCATTCCTTCTGGATGGTAAAACTTCAGGAGACCTATGCAGCTAGTGTTCCCGTTTCTGCTTAATTTTGTATTTTAAAATTGCAGAGGTACTCAAATTTTTTTTTAATTTTTGAATTGTGATAAAAAAAGATCTTAGGGCTATTACTTGTCAAACGTAACCCCCTCTCTGTGCCCTCTATATTTTCCTCCCTCCTTTCCCTTGTTAATCGCAATAATGTCTCCAACTTTTCCAAAACTCTGAGGGGAAGAATTCATGGAGAAGAAATTTCAACAATTTATTATAATTATTTTTAAAATTCTTGTATTCTCCTCAAGAAAGGCCAGCAAGTTTAAATTTGTCTCATCAGTAGGGGAAGCCAGAGTTGCACTATCTTAAAACAAGAGAAAAAATTTTATGACTTCATCAGGTTCCAGGTAGTTTAATAATGCTTGTTAAATTGTCAAAGTAAAATCCACGCAGCAGCCCGAATTACTTTAAGTTAGTGATAAAGTTGAGTTCGTTGATGTTTTAGGGTTGGGAGACATCTTAAAGATTAAAAGATACAATATTCTCATTTTACAAATGTAGAAACAGGCCCAAGGAGGCTAAGATATTAGTGAAGGGTCATTCACCTGCTTAATACAATATGCCCCAAACTCATTTTCCCTATCCTTATTTTAAAATTTTTGAAAAAATTTATTTCTGAAAGAGGAGAAGAGAGGGAAAGAAACATCAACATGTGGATGCATTTTGTGCGCCCCCAACTGGCAACCTGGCCCACAACCCAGGCATGTGCCCTGACTGGGAATCAAACCAACGACCCATTAGTTTGCAAGCCAGCACTCAGTTCGCTGAGCCACGCCAGTCAGGGCTGCTTTTCCCTATTTAAACTTTTTTTTTTCCTCTTCTATGTCTTGATGTATGATGACACCACTGGCCTTCCAGTAGACTGAGCCAGAAACCTGGTCATCATCCTTAATTTCTCATTTTCCCTCAGTTATCACAATCAACTCTTTATTTTTATTAGTTCCTCTTCCTAGGTGCCCATCTAACCTGTCCGTGTTCCTCTCTGTCCTCAGTGCCACCACCCTGGTAGAAGTTATCTCACACTCCTGACATTGGCAGTTTGGCATTGAATCACTTGAACACCTTGTTTTAAACATGTCTATTTTAAATGATTGGAAAATGAAAAAACAAAACAAAACATAAGGCTGCAACAAAATGATAAATAGTTGAGATATGCCCAGATTTAGACAAAAATGATTTGTGGTCCAATTGAGGAATCAAATGATGGTCACTTTAAAAACTGGTTCTATATGTAGAACCATCTAGAGCAGGAGTCTCCCACCTCTGGGCCAAGGACCAAGGACCAGTCAGGCAGGGCCTGTTAGGAACCAGGCCACACAGCAGGAGGTGAGCCTGAATGTGATGTGCTTGAATCATCCCGAAACCATCCCCCACCCAAACTGTCAGTGGAAAAGTTTTCTTCCACAAAACTAGTCCCTGGTGCCAAAAAGGTTGGGAACCACTGATCTAGAGAATTAAGAGTAAAAAACTATAAAGTACAAAATTACAGAACTGATAAACTTTGTTTATACGTATGTTCACCTTCCCTCAAACCCATTCCCTTTTTTACGTGATACAAACTT